ACAGGCACTTGGCTAGTTTCAAATAAATGTGCTTTGATTCCAATAATATTATAAATAGCAATAGATGTTTTGGTAGTTATTCCACTCACATAAAATACTATTCACACAAGCCTTCTTGAAATGACAATAGTTAAGTATCCATACCTGGAAAACTATGATCTTTTTGCTCAAAACTGGAAAATATATCTCTCATCATGTAGATCATCCTCATTTGTCACCATACTGTGCAGTACAATGTACTGTAAAAGGATATATGCTTGTTCTGATGCAATTCATTTGTGTGTCTACAGTAATGGAGATTTCAGAAAAAGATTTTAGGCATGTTAGACATAAATGTTATTTTACAGTTCTAAGGCATTATTCATCCCAGTGCCTAAACATTTGGTAAAGTTTGTACCTGATCCAAGGAAGTTCAATACTTTTCAAAACTGGACACAGGTACAAAAGTAGATTTACTTATCACTGAAATGCTTCAAACTCAAGAACAGCACACATCAGCTGCTTCAAAGCACAAAACAACAGTGCACCAACATTTTGCACTAAAAGAGAAAAATATTGTAGGCAATTAAAATTACATGGAGAATTTATGGAGGCAGGATTTAATTACCCAAATTGGAATTTGTCTAGGACATCAGGGCTGACACCCATCCAGTTTAAAAAAAGAACACACTCTCTATAATGGCCATATTTAATATTTTATATATGACCTAAGGTTAAATCTCAAAGATCTGCTATAGATCAATTATAAACCACTGATGTATCCCTGAAAATGAAGAAAACAAGTAGTTTTCTAGTTATGTTGAAGAATGTTACAAAACATCAAAGACTTTGCCTTGTTGCTGATAATATAAAAATCAGACAGTGGGAAAAAAAACCTCTTCCAATCATGAAGTAATGAAACAGTAATGAGCACAGTAGTCATGTTCTCCACTCTCTTATTACAGAAGGTGGCATTATGGTGTATTTTGCCAACAACAGATCCTGCCACACTCGAGATAAATGGAAAAAGACTGACACATGTACAAAAAATATTACTTTAAGCATAAGATTCTAAAAATTGTAAGATTATTTTATTCATTATAGAAAGTAACAAAATCTTCACCAAGAAAAAACCTCCTACACTCTCATTGGCTGTGGGCCAGATCCTTAACAGGTCTAAATCACTGACGTTTAATTGCAGTTAATAGAACTGTGCCAATTTTCACCAAAAACAGGGCCCAAAACTTTTCTGCCCACTTAATTTCACCTTAAAACTTTGTTCACTTAAAACTTTTTTCTCTAGAAAAATGGTTAGAGACAGATTCTACCCCACCTTAGTCACACTGCGCAGGTCATCACTGTGGAGCAAGGTCCATTGATTTCACTGGAATGATTGCCCAACAGGGAACAAGGTAGAAGATCTGTGGTCTATAGAGGCAGGACCATAGGATTTTACAGGTTGCATTTGCTTGCATTAAAGAGTTAATGTTACCCGAGTCACTAGATGCAAATAAGAATCTTAGCAAGTCCTGCCGTAATGTGGGTCCCATGATTACCTCCAAATGACAAATCACTGTTCCAACATGGAAGTACTAAAAACTAAATTCACCAGAGTACCATTGTACCTTAGCTGGAGAATATGATTTCTGTATTAAGTGCTTTTAATTTCAGTGCTTGGGAACTGTTTTAAAACTGTCTGCTAATTTGTGGTACTGTAATATTCTTACTCTCTCTGCTGCAATCAGAGACAGCACTTCCTTCGTACGACTCCACTAACCACTTCACTTTGCTCACAAGTCTAGGCAGTTTTCCACCTGTCCAGGCAGATAAATCAGCTGTGTGAGGCCCCAGACAGGTGAATTTGTCAGGTCTTAACACAGTCTTGATACAAGTGAGTTGTTATTTATATCGAATATTTTCAAATTGGGGTAAGAATAAGACTCCCTCCTTCTTTCAAACACCTGTTTTGAAGTCTTCCAAGCTAATGCTTCTTTTGATATCTGCCTGATTGCAAGGCAAGCATAATTATGTGACAGGTGAATCTCTTAACCTGTTTTTATTTCCAACTTGTCCATCCAAAGAACCTGTCTCTCCCTATCTTCCAAGTTCTTGATCTTCCCTTTTAGTTGCACCGACATGTTCTTGGGATGTTGACCTGCAGGCCTAAAAAACTTCAAAATCATTAAACAGTAGGAGCACTCTTGCAAAATGCATTTGATGGTTCTGCTTACCTTTCCTGCAGGCTTATGAGTGCTATGTACGTGTACACCATACGCTCCCCATTTCTGTCACTCATGTCATCGGTTCAATTAAATTTGAAATATTGTTGAACAGTATAGTCTACGTTTTCACTGCATGATCACCTCATAAAAATAGCAGAAGATTATTGACTATGAGGATGCATTTGAGAAACATCCAAGGAACCAAATATTGAAAAACTTCCTTGGAGACCGTTAAAAATATTTCAAGTGGATGTGGAACTACGTCCTTCTGCATCACATCTGCTGAAAAAATGACATGACATAGTTGAAGGTTACATGATGTAATCTGGCATAACATGGTGAATACAGCATGCATGGTGGGAAAAAAAAGTCTTGTAAGTTCAGTATTCAGTAGTAGATATTTCAACAGAATTTATTATAGCAGGTGGAAGTAGGGTGGATGACAATGACCCACAACCCATAAACCTGTAGGTACCTTTCTTCTTTGGGAGTGAATTATTTTTAGGTAGTTGAACATATCTCTGATTGTAATTACTACTCAGACCAATATCATCCTGAACATTTGACCTGAATAGCTCCATTTCTTTGTTTAAGAACAGGGTTACTTGAGATCAGTGCAATATATGAAGTGAGCCTGTAACAGAATGGAAGAATTAAAAATTTTTTTCTTGAAATTGCTAGTGTGTCAGAATCATAAAATAAAACATTTTTCATTGTCAGGAAACGCTTCTTAAAAATGCATCTTTAAAATAAAAAAGGAAAAAAGAAAGAAAGAAAAAAGAAATCATTCTCCTTCAAATTGAAACCAGCATAAAATATTACCCCAAAAGACCTGGGCTGATTTCTTTATAAATGAACAGAACGTTAGAACCATGGCAAAGGCAAATTGGCCTACAAGAAAACTGACAGCTTTATAGCCTATGCCTCTGATTGAAATGTTGGGAAATCTCTTGGCAATTCTCCCAGACATCCAGGTAGAACAGTGAGTTCACTGATTATGTTAACTAAAGCAATCTGGCTTTGCACAAACGCACCTCAGGCCCAGCCAAGTGTGAAGGCTTATCAATGTGCCAGACCAAGAAAAAGACCTATTTACCTGAGGAGAGTAGCTAAATAACTAGACTGTGAGAAACAAAAACAGGGACATCAATGCCTAGAGTTTTTTTATTTTAATATATAGCTTAAATGCAAGCAATGAACCCTCAATAGGGTTGTGAGGGTGTTAAACAAGGGAACAATTTGATCCAATGCGTTTAAATGCCTGTAGTAATCGTAAATAATAAGAATACCATGGTGATGACTATGGTATTAAAACACATACAGAGAGAGAGAATAAACCTATTTCTATGAAGGAAAGAGTCTTAGGCTCTATATAGCCCTCATTTATTATTTTTTGGCTCAGCCTGACTATTGGGTGGTGCTTAGCTGTACTGTCTCAGAAAAAGCCCTGGGAAGGAATTGTTCTTCGGGCTCACAAATTCCACTTCTCTGGATCCAGGAGTCAGAGTGGGAAATGAACTTACTGCAGCCCTGAACAAGCAGCTCGTCTACCTCTCCCGCTTACGTCAGCCAGCTATGCCGGTCAACATGTCCTGGCTCCACCCACCCCCAATTCTCGACACCCTTTTCCAAGGGAACAGCACTGGGGCAGAGCCACAATATGTATCATCATGATGTAACCTCATAGGCATAGTGGACCTTCCTCTTTATGAATCTTCTGCTCATCCACGTTACAACCAGTCAAAATCTAACTAAATAAGCATGATAAAAGGTCAAATTGTGCCAAAGTATGAGTAAGCAATACTACAGCAACAAGGGCAACATTCAAAAAATATGAGAGAGAGATAAAGGAACCATTTCCACGAAAAAAGTTAGCAAGGGATAATGAGCCCAAACAAAAACATTACAAAAGAAACAACCCTAGTACGTGGCAATCTTTTGGGCTAAATCCATAACTGAATGTTACATGGAGAATTATGATGCTGTTTACACAGGCCTGCCTCTCCAAATCTGTGCATATTTGTAATTCAGTTTGTTATATTTCTTGGTTAGGCTCTCCAGTGTCTATCATTTAAAAAGGAATTCTCTGCTATATAACTAAAGGACGTTAAAAATATGAGGAGAGTACCTTAAGCAATATCCCTACCCCAAAGATGCCCCTTCGTAGTAGTCAATAATGCAATCAGATATCTAGGGCTATTTCAATTGCCTGCCAAAACATCACTCATGTCTATTAAAGTATCCTAAAAAACACCATTACATCAATTCCAGCAATGGCGTAATTATTCTTCTTTCTGGAATGTCTTCTGATGTGAGTCACCCCACTGGAGTGTGATTTTGTTGGAAAATGGCTTGAGAAATGTTTGAAATAAGGAAAGGATTGGGGTGGGGCCCTATTGCAGCAGGCATTAAGGAACATTTTCAAATTATATTTCATCAGCCATTCAGTGAAAGTGACCAAAGCAAAGCAGAGTAATTCAGAGAGACAGGGAGTTCCACTCTGGATTTGCAGTTTAGACATGCTATTATCATAACAACAGATAGATTAACTATATCTTGCTAGAACAGTATTTACCAAAGAGACGGGGCCAAAACATACATTCCTTGTACAACCAAAATTAATTAATAACAAGGAATGTGCGATAAAAGTCATTATTGCAAAAGCAAACAAAAACAAACAAACATCCAGAAGACCACTTACTGGGGTACATTTGAATCTATGCTTAATATATGGTGCAAAACCATGCAGAAATTAATTAAAGTATTTTACTGTATGCACCAATTAATGAATAGTGAGAGTTACTTAGACTACAGATACTTAGACGTTTTAACATAAATAACTCATAAAAGAACAGTAGAATCTACTGTACTAATTTTGTGAATATGTCTAAATAAAGTATGACTATATTATGGTTTCATATAACAGGAGTTTGGCCAAATAGCTGTTTCTGAGAAAAATCTGTATGATTAATTGTGCCCTTGATTGCACCAGTATAAATCCAGAGTAATTTCAGTGATTCCAAATGGATCATCCAAAGGACAATCCAGATTTACACTAGTATAACAGTGGAGAATTTGGATATCTGCTTCTTTTGTAACGTTGCAAAAATAAATGTTTAATTTGGGGAAATTCTGCTTCCATCTATGAATGAGAGTTCTAGCTGAATTAATACAGCATAACTTTATGGGTTAAGAGAGTCAAAAACAATATCCAATAAATAAATAAATATAAACAGGTCCAAATTCATCTGGGATGGAACTCTACTGAAGTTAATAGAGTTCCATTAGGAATTAATACAAGACTGTCTCTTCTATCTTTTTTCCCAATTTTTAAAGATATTTGCTTTTTAAGTAATAAAAGAACTGCTGCCCATAGCCACAGAGGAGGAGTAGCAGTAGTAGAAGTTTAGCATTATAGACCCTAGAGACCCTCAGCTGCCTCCACACTTGGCTGACCCTTGGCTGAATCCTCATCCATTCCTGTCTGTTGTATGCTTTCATGCTCCTATCATCCAGCTTTAATTTCTGTAGGTCTGACACTACACCATGTATCCACCCTCTTCTTGGTCTTGTAGTGGGCCTTCTGCCCTTTAGGACACAAGGAAGACTTTCTTTGGTGTTCAAATCACTTCCATTCTTTCAATGCATCTCAGCCACTGCAGTCATCATAGTCAGATTTCCCATGTCAGGGTTGGGTCTCTGTACAATTAATATAACTCATTATTGGATCTTATGCACCATTCATGTGTTCTGATATATGTGTACACTATGCACCAAATATTTTCCATAAAATCTTCCTTTCAAAATGATCTAATAGTATCTCATTTGCTTGTGAGAGAAGCTACGGCCATAGAGCTACATCAGTTTTGAAAGATCTTGGGTGAAATTCTGAAATCAACAACAGATTTCTTGAATTTTACTAGATGGAGCCTAAAGTCATAACCTAAGTCACAGCAAAAAAAAAAAAAAAAACAAAGTATGAAGAACTTCTGAGGAAAAAAAAGAAAGGTTTGAGTATCCCTAAAAAAAAAAAAAAAAAGGAAAAAAAAAAGAATTAAAATGCTAGGTGGAATTTTTGTATTGTTATACAGATCACAGACTGGCCTCTAGAAATGACAGAATTTGCATGACCTGCCTACAGAATGGTGTTGTGTATCAGAAAGGGTCCATCTAAACCGCACTTTGGTGAATTTTGTTGCCAAACTAAAAAATAAATTTTGAAAAATAGGAGGGTGTTTCTACTGAAAAATTAGTAATACATGAGACGTGGCATCAGAGGATCTTGTGACACTTAGCAGAGAGTAAGTAAACATGGCCACTCCTCTGCTACTTCAAGCGGAGGACCCCGCTCAACGCAAACTCGTGTTGTGATATGAAGAATGCTATCACTCCCCTAGGCCTGTAAAGATTCGAATCACCTGGCTCAGGTTAGGCCGCTTAATTTGAGGCACTTAAGCCTGAGTCATGTTCTGCCGCATACTGGTGTTTGCCCAGGCGGCTGCAAGTAAGCTGGGGGGAGGCGCTGATGAGATCAGGGCACTAGCGGATCCATGGGGGCGGCGAGTTAGTGGGTCTGCAGGAGGAGGGGCTGGCAGGCCAGGAGTGATAATGGGGGAGTTAAAACAGCCTAGCTCTGGGGCTGGGCTATGAATGCATGCAGGCATTTGTTAAGCCAGGTTAAGCCATTTTAGATTGGGTTAACCCAGGCCGATCTAAAGTTAGTTCACTTCCTGAGGCATGCCATTGTTAGGGTGATTTATGCTATGTAAATGCCAGGTGGTTAAATTAATCCAACCTTGGTTAGATCGAGCTAAATGTAACGCTTGGATGTACCCTAAGATTCCAAGAAGGGAGGTCCCCGCCAGAGGTTTGGCTGAGCAGTTTATCCCCCAAGCAGCAGCAACCAGGCTGACAGGAGAGGCAGCAACTCCAGGCCTCCAGCAAGGAAACTGCTATTTTTGCATTCTCCTTAAGTCAGTACCTAAGGCTGGTGCCCTGCTCACCCCTACTACTTCCTCACTACCACCTTAGTTACACTGCTACTCACAATTAAGCCCAGTGAAAGATCTGCCAGATAGCTGGGGGGGAGAGAGGGATGGGGAAC